TTTGTGTGGGGGGGGGGGGGCGGGGGGCGGGGGAAGAGAGAGAGAACAAGGTGAATGCCAGAGCAAGAGAGAAACGTCTCTTGCGAAACAGGACGGCTGCGACAAAGCATGCAAGATGTGGGTTGGCGAATGGGTGTGTGGATCATGTGTATTCTGCGAAATATTTTCTTTCAATATGCTTGCCTAGTCCAAAGAAGCGAAAATCAAAAGAAAGAAAAAAAAACACGACAGACAGACGGGGCCCCCAACAACGACATTAATAGTTCGGTAGGCAAATTAGGGCGGGCTGGGAATCTAGCGTATTTTGTGTCGGGCCGCGCCGTGAACGGAGCAGGACAAGGGGGGCAAACACAACCGCACGAACTTGTAGAACGTACCATCGATATTTGGGGGAGGATACAGTCCTATGGTTGATAGTTGGGGAAGGCGTGCTGTCTAGCGCCATGTGCTATATTTGTGGGCGTGTGTGTAGTAGTAGGTACCGTGACGGAGTAGCAAGGTCGTCGGGTGTTGCCGGACGAACGCCAGACTGGCGAACAAAAAAAGGACAAGAAGAGAAAAAAAACATCCAAGACAAACAGCACGAAGAGGAGATTGCCTGCTTCATTGCCCACCCGCATGCATGCACAGTATCCAGCAGCAGCGAATGGTAGAAAAAGCCTCTCGAACGGGGGGCCATACACTTTGCCCGCCGGAAACCAAGAAAATACGTCAAGGTACTTTCGAGTTGAGGCTGATTTTTCGTATTTCGTGCCCACTGTCGAGCACGGGACATTTTTATTTTAATGCCGACCTTCTTGCAGGATACACCGCTGGCCTAATATACCTGCTTTTCTTACCCCGACTTTTTTTTTTTTTTTTGCCACGACAGTCTGAGGCTAGTTTTTTTCTTCAGAAGTTTTCGTTCTTGTAGTTGTTGTCTTAACATCAAAAACCGGTCTCATCTCTCGATCCGTACCTCCCTCTGTTCGTACTGATCTATTTACCACTTGACGCGGTCGAATCCCGTGGTCACAGGACGCTTACGTACCCCCAATGAACCCAAAGAATATTTATGGTCTTAACTCTGGGTTGACGCCACCTCCAACTCTGCCCCTACCTCGAGAACATCCACTCGACCCGCCGCCGCCGCCTCGGAAACCCACTCCCTCGCCGATAGCCCCCTCAGCCCCGGCGGGAGCGCCCTCTGCAGGGCCCCCAGCACCTGATGCTGCCCCGGCCCGTCATCGTCACCACGGCGGGGAAGAGGAGACCCGTTCCTAGCAGGGGCGGAGGCGGTGGCGGTGGCGGCGGCGGCGGCGGCGGTGGTGGCTGCGGCAGTCGCCCTCTCGGTAGGGAACGGAGCATCGGCATCACCGCCACCATGAAAAGCACCACCACCGCTAGCATCAGCACTATAGGCGGTGGCGGCGGTGGCGGTGGCGGCCGTTACTCCGGCAATCGCTCCCTCGGTAGGGAAGGCAGCACCGCCACCACCACTACCGCCAGCGGCAGCAGTGGCGATGGCGGCGGTGGCGGCCGTAGCCCTGTCCACGCCACCGGCCGAGGGCGGTGTCCTTGCGAGCCGCCCGGGAGTGGCAGCGGCGGCGGCGGCGGCGGCGGCGGCGGCGCCAACAGCCCGCCAGACGTCATTCTCGCCTCGATTGGCCAGCTGCTCGGTGCGGGGGGGGGATGCAACGGGGGGTTGGGATATATTAATGTTAACGCATGCCGCAGTCGTTGGACCATTGACCTTGCATCGCCCCTGCAATGCCGGGACGGAGAGATGTGTATGCCGCGTTTTCGCCGGCCCAGTCTGCGTGGCCATGGGGCGGGAGGGGATTACTAGTGCTTAGCATGCCCTACGTAGCTGCTACAGCAGACCGTTGACCGCGCGTCTGGAGAGGACGGGGCCTTGTTCCGGCGGGACCAATCATGGCCAACTGTCCTTCCTGCACTGCGCCAAAGGTGGCTTTAACGCTTCCTCCATATCCTGTCGAAATCACTTCTCGACGTATAGGCCACTGCTTATTCCCCAATCTTTGCCCCCAAGTTTAGAGTCTGTCTTCTCCTGGCTATGCCTCAAACTTCTTTCTGCACCTTCCTTTCGTTTCCCCCCCAGTCATGTACTTTCTGTCTCCCTTTTTCATAACACGGACGTTCCGCGATCATATGGACCTGACCTTCGAACGCAGACCCGCGTTCATCATTGAAACTTGTCTGAGGGGGTGTGAGGGGTATTCTCGGCATCATCATGCGCTGCTCTGTGGCAAAAAATGCCCACCACCAGGAGACCACAGACGCAGCGGTAAGAAAAAGAGCAGAACATGATCCCGACCTTCACGGTATTTCGTGGTAAAGAACTCCGGTTGTCTCACCAGCCATTGGACGACGTCGACGTGTCCGTTAGCGACAGCCTGCAGCAGGCCCTCGCTCGTGCCGCCCTCGAGGCGGTTGTGGTGGAGCCACCTAGCATCCCATTCCATCCCGTCACATCCCATACCATCAACCCGCACCACGCAAACCAACCGGCGTTTCGGTTAGCTTTCCAGCGAAGTATGCACACAAACCAACACTTAAAGCAAGATATACAAGTCCAGTCCGGGTTGTCTATAGTGCAGGTGCCGGAATAATACGGGTGAACTGCGCGGTGGGAACGGATTGAATAAATCAAGATGGCTATCACTTTGAAATGGTGCGGGTAACTACTGAATATAGTGCGGGTGGAAGGGTTTGGCACATACCCGCACTATGAAGGGCGCCCGATTGTTGCCGTTTCGTTGCTGCTGCTGTTGTTGCCGCTGTTGTTGTTGTTTTTGTTGTTGTTGTCTTCACTTTTGAAACCGTTCCGATGTCTCTATCCTGCCTCCTTCCGTCCGTACTGATCTAACGCTGGACGCTGTCGATTCCCGTAGTCACAGGCTAACATGCTCCCCCCAAAAAGGTGGGGCAAAATAGAACGGACCCGACTGCACCCTATGTGGTCGTGCGTCGCCGCCGTACCTGACCACGTCCAGGTACCCTTTCGAGGCCGCGCCGTCCATCGCGGCAGGCGTGAAGGTCAGGGACTCGGCGCAATCATCCCACCGGGCGTCGCTGCTGCTGGAGCAGCAGCACTTGGTCGCCTACGGCGAAAACGCGGCGACAAAAGCAAAAAGCAAGGGTTGTTGGGCACACGGTTTCCAAAAACTCAACACAGTAAGGGCCCAGAAAAGCTGACGTTTTGTCTCGCTCTTAAAACCATGGCACAAAGTTTGACCATGTCACGCCCGCGTATTTTTCACGTCTTCCCCGGCAGGATGTGTTCGATCCGTCCCGACGTACTCACTTCGTGTTGCCACATAGCATGCACATACACCTTTGTGCTCCGCTACTTTTACCACATGCAAAACATTGGGTCCAAGCCAAATATTCGAACCATTGCGCGTGATCCGTCCCGAGTGGGCTCGCCAGACAGCGTGGCGTCTTGAAGAGATGGTGCAAGACGGCCATACCAAAACAGGGCCAGATGTGACATTTCTCAAACATTTCTCTCAAGGTCCAAAACAGCGCACACAGCTCACGTGTTTCGACTCGAAGAGCCCGGCGATCCTCAACAACCCCAAAAAGAAAGTCAAACGAAATCTCTGTAATCATGTTACTTGCGACACGCTCGATAATGAAGAGGGGGCTGAATGGCGTGCAAACGGCATCCTTAACCCCCCCCCCCTCCCCCCCCCCCCCCTGGGAACTACAAAATCCCGCCCCCATCTACCTGCATCTTGATAAGCTCCAGGTGGCCGAGGCGGGAGGCGCGGTCTCCATCTCCGTAGTCCGTTCCAGCCATCCCATCCTGTGGACGAAACGCAACAATAACGCAGAAAAACGTTCTGATTTGTCGTATCTCGCAGCGGAAGACGTTTTTTTTGGTATAACGTAGGAGTGGAAGACACAAGACGTGGTACTTCGTGCTATTTCGGGGGCAGATTATATATATCGTTTTCAATTGTTAGGGTTTCGGGATGGAGAGGATTGAAGGTACTGTAGTAGGGTGCTGGGTCCATCACGGCGTGATTCGTGCACTATCATGGGTTGATTTTGTCTGTCTCAACCGGAAAGAAGAGTTTCATACAAACAGAGGCTCGAGCGGCTATTGAACGAAAAGCAGCTGGAGCAACATCAACAACGTCAACAACAACGACGACGAAAAAACAACAACGACGACGACAACAACAACGACGACGAAAAAGCAACGGCAATAACAACAACAATGGCAATAACAACAACAGCGACAGCAATGACAACGTCAACACAACAACAGTACCACCACCGCCAACAACAACAACAAAACAGAAACAACAGCAACAGTAACAACAACACAAACCACCATCGCCAACAACAACAGCAACAACACCACCACCACCACCACCGCACGGACCTGGAAAGACAGCATGGTACCCCAGAGAGAATGATGGACGAGGGCTTCCATCGCGTACGGTTGAGGCGGCGGCGTCGCTGCCGGGGGGGGGACAGACCCGCAAATCGCCGTTCCCGCTTCCCCTCCTCCAGAGCAGCAGCCGGCGGCGGCGTGCGGTTGGCTTCTGATCCCGGGTCTGAGAGCGGCGTCTTGCATCCCGGCGTGCGGCCTTCCTTCGCCCCCGGGGAGAGCTGGGGGGTGGGGGGTGGGTTTTCTGAAATTGAAAGGTCTATCTGGTCTCAAAGTGACGTCTTGCATAAAAGGGTTTTTGTATTCAGTAAGCACGTTGGATAAAGCATGCAATCGGGAAAGTTGGGTTAGGGTTAG